TAAAAAGGCCATTTACTTCTCTCTAGAATGACGTACAAATGAGCGTTCTTGCTATTATTTTTCTTCCGAGAAACATGCAAAACGGGACGGAAAACATGAAATTTTGCACAAAACGACGATAATTTTTCTAATTTCATAGACAACAGAAGACTGTATTTTTTCTACATAACCCCCCTTGAATTTAAAGCTGGATCCGCCCCTGCGATAGAGAGAGCAAAACCTCACAAAAACTCTCGTCTCAACTGACGATTTTTGTTATTTCGAACCGAATTTTTCCACTGAAGAAACTCAGATTCGGAAATATTCTTCCGCATTATAACAGTAGCCAGAAGCGCATTTGCAAAAAAATATTGCTGATGTTAATAAAGCGATAAAACCGAGGAAATATCTTATGAGCAAGTTGATGCATAAAGGCTCTGATGGGAGCGGCAGGATTACAACATTTGCAAGCAGGCTAATAAACAGGAGAATCTGAGAAACATGAAAAGACGTCGTAATTTCCATTCAAAACGTTTTAATGGACCTTCTTGATAGCAACAGATCCGAACGTGTTCCTCCGGACAACGATTAGAAACAACTTAACTTCTTCGCTAAATGAGTGCACGAGCTGAATGTCGGTTTCAATGTTTCCACCATTAATTTAATGACGATACTTAAAAGTGTTTTTTTGAGCTCACCGGGAAATTAGCCAAGTTCTGACATGTTGACCATTTGTATATGATGTTACTCGTTTCACTAGCAGTAAATGGACGCAAAACACCGTTCAGACGCAGAGCGTCTCTGTAATGACATGGCAATATTAAGCAAATTTGTATTTTTTAGACAAAAACAGGCCCTGCACTGAAGAAACCTGTATTGGAGTCAGTAGCGGAACAGCAGTGGCGATTTCAGGGAAAGATCTGTGCACTTGCAGATGCCATCAACATCTTCCAGCTTTTCGGGACGATTTGCAGATCTGTGTAGACGACATCAATGGTGAGTAAACAGGACTTAAAAAATTCCAAAAAAGCTTCTAATGTCTATTGATTCAAGTAGAAAACTTCGTCTACAATTTCCCCAAAATTCTGCTTTTTACTTGCTGCGGTTTGGAGGTGGGGAATTTTTATAAGGAGAGGAGTGTGGTAGGAACGCCGGGCTGTAAAAGCGGAAGTTGGAAAATTTGCACAAAATCAACCTTTGCTTTCAGCCAATTGAAACTTTCCACGCTTGTTAGACCAGGTGTTCGCTATAATTCTAGAAAAATTGAGTTTTTCATCTGTACTAGTTTGGGAGTTCTAGATTTTTATTACGAACCAACTAATAAATACACTCACTGGCTTAAGTTTGTTAGACTAAGTTTCTTCTATAATTGCCCAAAATTTATGTTTTTGTCTACTTCTGCTCGCGAGTAGCAAATTTTTGTCAAAAGCGATGCATGATAGTAACTGTTTTTCGGAATAACCAAAAACTTTTAATTTCGAGAAAGCTGCGAATGGATCTTAATGGAGCTTAAGTGCGGTGAATGGGCGAAATCCTTGTCTGACTATCCAAAAGTTTGAAAAATTCACAATAATCAACAAAAGCTAGGATGTAGTGGAAACTTTCTACACACATTAACACGAGCTTGGTCTATAAAGTTCCCAAAATTCAGCTTTTTATTTGTGCGCATTTCGGACATTTGATGACCACAAAGAGGTGCGTTGGTTGAGATCTTTGGCTGAACAAACCATTTTTTCAAATTCCCAGAAATGCAACAACTTGCTTGAATCGACTGACACTTTCTCCACTCTTTGACTTAAGTTTCCTCTACCATTTGGGAAAAATGGAAAGTTGTACCTGCTGGCGTTTGCGCGTTATGAATTTTTCTGGAGAGCGGGGCGTGGATGAGACTCACATCTAAAAAACTGAAAGTTTCTAATTTTCCAGAAAATCGTAGAAAACTCCGTTTGAATTAAAACTGCGAAAACTTATTGAATGAATTATTAAAGTGAACTTATTAAAAGTTTGATAAAGAGAGGCGCATGATGGGCAATGTTTTCTAAGGAACCTAAAGTTTTAAATCGTCCAGAAAATCAACAAATTCTCCGAAACCATTGGAACTTGCTCCTCTTAGTACCTTAAGTGTATGTCTATGAAGGCCTAAAATCTTAGCTAATTCGCTCTACACACTGGGGGGTTATGGATTTTTAGGGAGAGCGGCGCATGGTTAAGATCCCAATCTGAATAACCGAAAAAGAAGCTTGAAAATTTTCAGATCATCAACAAAAGCTCGCACTGGCTTAAAACTTCCCAAACTTATTACCTAAAACTTTGTCTACAAACAGCCAAAATTTCAAGTATAAAGCGCAAAAAACCAGCTACATTTCGACGAAAGAACCGTCCTAAGTTCATATTGAAATAGGCCCATCTAGCCATCTTACAAGCCTCTAATAGCCTCAATTTTCGATAATTTGCACTAAGTGCATTAGCAACTTAGTAAACAACTTCAATCCTACTCATTGCCTCTTCGCACATGTTCATGTTGTTGTTCGCAATAATGATCAGGCCAATATGAAGAAAGTAATCAGCGATTCACACTCGTCTAACTGTAAGAGTTGGGTAATAGAATGTTATGATAACTAGCTGGCGCTTTAATATGCGAAAATCGATTGTTTTGTTTGAAGAGCTCATTGAATATGGTTAATTAATTAATTTGTTACATGGTTTATTGGCGAGAAGGGGGCTCTAATTGGCTTTGTGTACATTAATCTTCATTTAATGGGTTCCATCCGTGTTTAACTGAAAATTCAAAGACAAGAATTTGAAGAACATCAGTGCCTAGTTAGACGAAGAACTTCAACTTTGGTTTTCTCCATAAAGTTAGTTGAATTTTTCCTCACTTGAGGATACAAATGTGTGCATGAAACCGAAATTTTTGCATTAAATGGCGGGTTTCCTGCTGAAGACCTTTCTTCAGTGCTTCCTATACATATAGGAAACAATGCAGCATGCACCCATGAAAGTAAAATGCAATCAATAAGGATCACGCAATCTACAGACACGAAAAAAATAAATTATTACGAGTAAAGGTTAATGGTTCGTTGAACTGATAATGTTCTGGTATTATGGGATAGAAGAAGCAAAGGTAATAACGGCCCCATGGAACAACGGCATCAAATAGACGAATCGCATAGATATTAATAATGTAAAGAAACCGTGTTCAAATTATCTTGAGGGTACCATATGGCGATCGGATCGGAGAATGTTGACCGTCATCTCTACCCACATTTTTCTTCTCGTTTGTTTATAAATTACTTGTGTATGCAAATGTGGAAATTGATTGCTCAGAAAAAATAAACTCTTCTTTCGATTGATTGTTCTGCGTAATGAATTAAATTAGTTGAACGCCTGAACTTGGAAAAAGTTTAGAAAGTCAACCATAAATCAGAAGCTAATGAAAAATTCCACGCCTTTGAACTAAGTCTCGGATTTTTAATCAGATGGGAACAAGATTTCGATTTTTTTGATTTTTTGCTCACATCAACCACAAATTTATTGACATTTTTCCTGATTAATAAGCAAGACGTTTTCTGCACATACTCAAAATTGTACCCTTACATCTGGTACATTTTGCCAGTCGCATACTTCTAACTACAGGGGTTGCACCTTTAAGGCTAAAAAAATCCAGAGATTCAACGGGTGCTCTAAATAAATTCAAAATTCGTCGACGTAATAGCGAAGGCTTTGTCTCTAACTGTGCAAAATTGCAGCCCTGTAGCTGCTCTAATTTGCAAGTTTTGAATTTTTGAACACACACATGCACATTTGAGGCTATTTTCTCAACTGCAGCTAAATTTAAAAAATCCTGAAACGGCAAAATCTCTAAATCTATTAAGAGTTTGCTTAATACACAAACTTCCTTCAACAGATTCCAAAATCAACAATTTTGAATGTGCGTTTGCGTGCGAGTTGTTAATATTTAACCCAATGCGTGCACTTTTGCAATTATTTTCTGGACTTCCCGGAAAAACTGAACGAGATGTTCAAATGGATTTATATTTTGCAAACTTCATCAAAGAAGCTTCTAGTAAACTTGTAAAAAGTTGCAGTGTTACAGCTGGCCCAATTGGGAAGTTGTGGATGTTTTGCCATATGCGTGCATCTTTGCAGCTATTTTTTTCATTAGCCAGAATTTCGAAAAGTTCCCCACACTAATCAAAGGCGGAAAATCGACTCAAATTTTGCACACGTGATAACTAAGGCGTTTTCTTCAAACGTGCAAAATTGCAGCATTAAACCTCTTCCACTTTGGAAGATGCGAATTTTTTACCGCCGACGTGCGAGTTGTTAAGCAATATTTCATTGCATCAGTGTAAAAATAAAAAAAATTCCCGCGGCTGAACGAGACKAGCAAATCAATCAAAATTTTGCACGCTTTATYAAAAAGGCTCCTACTATACATGTCGAAAGTAACAGGGTTGCGTCTTCACAAATTTGGAAGTTGTAAATTATTTGCCAAATGCGTGCTCGTTTGCAGCAATTTTTTTCATTAGCCAGAATTTCAAAAAGTTCCTCACACTAATCAAAGGCAGAAAATCGACTCAAACTTTGAACACGTGATAACTAAGGCGTTTTCTTCAAACGTTCAAAATTGCAGCATTAAACCTCTTCCACTTTGGAAGATGCGAATTTTTTACCGCCGACGTGCGAGTTGTGAAGCAATTTTTCAGTGCATCAGTGTGAAAACAAAAAAAAATTCCCGCGGCTGAACAGGACGAGAAAATCAATTCAAATTTTGCACACTTTATTAAAAAGGCTCCTACTATACATGTCGAAAGTAACAGGGTTGCGTCTTCACAAATTTGGAAGTTGTAAATTATTTGCCAAATGCGTGCTCGTTTGCAGCAATTTTTTTCATTAGCCAGAATTTCAAAAAGTTCCTCACACTAATCAAAGGCGGAAAATCGACTCAAATTTTGCGCACGTGATAACTAAGGCGATTTCTTCAAACGTGCAAAATTGCAGCATTAAACCTCTTCCACTTTGGAAGATGCGAATTTTTTACCGCCGACGTGCGGGTTGTGAAGCAATTTTTCATTGCCTAAGTGTGAAAATAAAAAAAATTCCCGCGGCTGAACGGGACGAGCAAATCAATTCAAATTTTGCACACTTTATAAAAAAGGCTCCTACTATACAGGTCGAAAGTAACAGGGTTACGTCTTCACAAATTTGGAAGTTGTGAATTTTTTGCCAAATGCGTCCTTGTTTGCCGCAATTTTTTTCATTAGCCAGAATTTCAAAAAGTTCCCCACACTAATCAAAGGCGGCAAATCGACTCAAATTTTGAACACGTGATCACTAAGGCGTTTTCTTCAAACGTGCAAAATTGCAGCATTAAACCTTTTCCACTTTGGAAGATGCGAATTTTTTACCGCCGACGTGCGAGTTGTGAAGCAATTTTTCATTGCCTCAGTGTGAAAACAAAAAAAAAATTCCCGCCGCTGAACAAAACGAGCAAATCAATTCAAATTTTGCACACTTTAGAAAAAAGGCTCTTACTATACAGGTCGAAAGTAACAGGGTTACGTCTTCACAAATTTGGAAGTTGTGAATTTTTTGCCATATGCGTGCACGTTTGCGCCAAATTTATTTATTAAGCTGAACTTCAAAAAATTGCAGAAACTACACGAACACCCCAAATCGACTGAAATTTTGCACTCATCATCGCTGAGGCTTTTTCTTCAAATGTGCAAAATCGCAGCTTTTAACCCGGTCCATTTTGACAGGCATGATTTTTTTCCGCAGGCTTGCAAGACAATATTTTAATTACATAGAAGTTCAAAAAATTCCAGAAACTGAACGAAAACTCAAAGCAAACTAGAATCATTGATATCAAATCCACAATTCTCATCTCAGTCAATCTGGGTCGAAAAAAAACCAAAGTTTTAAGCTAACTTTGATGCTTTGTTTAACTTCATCATGAACATGTTGAGCGTAAGTGAATCCCCTTAGATAAA